CCCCCCCCCCTCACCGGTCCGCGGGTGCAGCAGCATAGGGTTGGCGTCGGTGACCAAATTATGTGGATACACAAGAGGCCAAACGGAGAATAAGAGAGGGGACGCCAAGAGGGACCCACGGCAAAGCGTTAACCAGGTGTCAAAGTGCTTCGGTTGCGCCGGGGCTTCTTCGAAAGAGCTCCCTCGTGCAAGTAGAAGGGGCGCGTGTGCGCGTCGTCTGCATCTCTTTTATACGCTCGGCACTCGTCGTGGGCAGCAGTTTCTCCCTTTTCTGCTGCTATCCATAGAGAGACTGAGTCTCTCTAGCCATACGTCAAGCAGACGTCAAGCAACCCATGTTCAGGTTTTAAAATTTTTAGATCAGTTTACCTTTCGGCTATCCTACATACGCTCATAACACTTTACTCTCATTTTCCGAGTATTAAGGGGGACACTTTTTTCCAGAAAACGGACCTGATACCACAGAAACTCAGAGAGATGCCCCAAATAACTCGTGTCTTCCCTCCCGTCACTTTGCCCTGCCTGGCCTTGCCCATCGTGGCGGCAGCCGAAAGGCTGTGCGACCTTGTTACAGTGACCGACGCGGCGGGCGGGCGGCGCAGAAAACCGCTCGATGATGAAAATGCCTAAACAGACCGACGCCTCCGTGACCGTGTGCGTGACGTCCCCGGCAGAGCGCTCCAGCCCCGGCACAGGGAATCTCCCATCACGTGGAAAAATAGGCCAGATCAAGTTTCACCCCCTTTGCGCTGTTGGCGGGCAGGCTGCTATACCGGGCCAACCAAATAATCAACAGAATTCCCGCAGAGCAGCGAGACGAGGCTAACAGTAAGAGGTGAGGGGGTGTGGCCCCCCTCCTCCCAACTACCACCCACACAGACCAACGCGTGGCGAAAGGTAAGTCCAAAGGTTGCACGGATAAAGTTCAAAATTGTCACGAGCAGCACATACGAAAGGCTTTTCATGACGTCAAAGTGCATTATCCTTTGTTTGACATCTGCACGCCGAAAGCACAAGATAAAAGCAGAAAAACTTTTATCGATGATAAAAAAATTATTGTAGGCAGACAAATTAATTGATCTTTTGTAACGGTAAATTTTGCCCTTTTGAATAGGCTTAAGGCCTGCCTAATTTTGTTACCTTTCCTGAGGTTACAGGCTACACGCAGTGCAGTAAGAAGTTCTTTTCTTTGAAATATGAGCGAAGGAGACCAGAAACTCACATTACAAGTTTGTTTGCAAGATGTCTAACAGTGTTTGGTAAAGTTTAAGTATCTCCACGGCCGGAAATGTAAGCGTAAAGACCCGACACACACACACAACGGCTTGGGCTTCTCGTCCTCATGGAAGACCTCTTTTCCTCTGCCATGAATACGGACAACGTACGGCCCTCCTAATCCCCTGTAATGGCGCGCCTCCTCGCGGGGTCCTTCAAGAAGGCGAGATTCCATTTTCACCTCCAGAGAAAACGGCTGCCGAGCCCAGCGCACACGGACGGATAAAAGGCAAACTAATAATAATATGCTGCACTGCGTACAGTATACTGTCGGGTGTTTTATGTCCGAAAATTTTCCAGAAAAAAGTATTTAAAAAGTGTTTGGGATATTTAAAATATTTTTAAAGAGATGACAATAAAACAAAAGTTTCAGGCAAAAGTTCGGAGGTTTTCAAAAATAATCTTTATAAATTATAAATTACAATTACTTTATACAATACCTAGAATACTGTCCGTGAAACATTTTTGTTGTTTCCGTTCGGGGTTTTATTTACCTACCACCGCTTCATCACCGCGGAAACAGAAGGCTCTGCAATAAGGCCAGTGTCGGCTGGTGCGGTGTTAATGACGTACACACGTGCACGGCCGTAAAGTTTATAGGGCTCATGGGTCGTGCATGCCACGGCACATCTCACGCACCTGCTTTACCAGGGTGTTGCCTGTAATGGCACCCTTCTCGCCGCCCTTGGCGCCCCGCGGCTGGGCGGGTTCTCCGACAAGCCCATCACCCTCTCCTTTACCTAACGCCCTCCCTCCACAACTCATCCCTGCTCCCCCGCACCCCTCGCGGGCTTGCGTTCCCCAGGAGGCCGCCCCGCCCAACCCTTCCTCCCCTCCTGCACGACAAACATCAGCATATTGCTGTCGGGCGCGAAAAGAGATTGTCACATTACACCCAGACTCTCTCTCCTCCACCTTTCTTTTCTGATGAAGAGTATCAGCCCATTTAAAAATGAAAACTTTCAAAAAGAATAAGCGGACAAAACTTGTTCTGAAGTTTAGGAAGATTTGCAAACATTATTTCAAAAGAAAACATAAAAAATAAAATAATTAAAACTTACTGATGATGTTTGTCTGTTTGTAATGCATTTTTGTAATGAGTTTTCCGAAACCTTGTTACTGTAGTTCAAAAGTCAAAAAGCCTTTACACACACCAGTCATCAGCATAAGGCGAACTGATACCGCCCCATTTTACTCACCCGCTCTGAGCGCATCCATTGGAACCGAGGGGTAGGGGATGGAGTACGGGTAGCCCTGGCTCTTGACCGTCTTCTGCTTCCGGCGTGGCCGGTACTTGTAGTCCGGGTACTTCTTGAGGTGGACGTCGCGCAGCCGCTTGGCCTCGTCAATGAACGGCCTCTTCTCCGTCACCGAAAGCAGCTTCCACTCCGCGCCTGTGACCAAAGGAACTCCCATAATTTAAGGAAACTCTTCAGAATTTTCCTCATGAAAACGTGTGAGAATTTTCATCATTTTTAAAAGTGAAATATCCTCAAAATTTGAGGTCTTCCTCAAATTCTGTTTATGCTTCCCTGCGGCGGTTTGCTCACCTAATCGTTTCGAGATCTCCGAGTTGTGCATCTTGGGGTTCTCCTGCGAAATCTTCCGCCTCTGGAGCCGGGACCACACCATGAAGGCGTTCATGGGCCTCTTGATGTGATCGCTGTCCTTCTTGGCGGCCGCGCTGCTGCCGTGCTGCGCGCCCGGCGCCGACCCCGGTGCGCCACCCGTCGACGCGGTGGAGGTGGCCACCCGGACGTCCAGCGAGGGGCAGACGGGCCCCGCGCCCAGGTTGAAGCCGCCTCCCAGTCCGGCCAGGCCCTGGCCCAGCCCGCCCTGCAGGGCGCCACCCAATCCGGCCACACTGCCATGGATGGCGGGCAGCGGGCCGTAGCCACCCTCGCACATGTACGCGGCCCTAAATAATGCAAAACAAATAAAAACAGTTAAAAAATAATAACATTCTTCACAAGTTATAAAAGGTTCAGTGAGTTCGAACACCCAAATCTTAACCCAGCCCATTCTTCTGGGAACCCAGATGTCAGGCAGTATGTCACCTCCTATGAGGAAAAATTCCTCACATCAAATCGTGTGAGGCAACCATGCGTCACATCAAGCTCCACAGAACCTCTGTGCCTCACCTCATTTAGTAATAGTATGAGGTATTTATCCTAACAACCACACGGAACAAACCGGTAATGCCTGGTTTATTGAGGAAAGGGGGAAAACTTCGAGAACAGTTTGAGCGACATCCAGATTGTAAGCATATTTTAGTTAAAAAATGAAAAAGATTCCCACACCTTGGAAGAGATATCTCCAAAGTTTGAGTGTTTTCCTGCAATCATGGGAGTTTTTCAACACTTCACCCTTTTCTCACAAGATACGACAGTGTTTTTACATGCGAAATGTTTGCGAAAAAGCTATAGGGCACAACTTGAGACCGCTATGTAACTATGTAATAAGAAGCGTAGCAGAATTTATTTGTAAACAGTGATGGCTGTTACCGCCTGCATCATTCCGCGGACGCATACGAAATCGTTGGGGGGAAAGCGGGGGAGGTCGGCAAAAGGAGAAACAGTCGACGTTGTGAACCGTGCTGGCTGCCTGCGTTCTTTCGGACGCGACCTCCCGCAAAGCGGCTAAACCTGCTTCGCGCGCACGATCGGCTTTTGTTCTTGCCACTTTACGCCGTAATGTATGCAAATCACTCAAATAATTTAACCCCCCCCGAGCTGCTGCTCCCCTCCTCAAACCTCGTCGCGCGGGAGGTTTTGTCCGGAGCGTTTGAGTAACGCGGCCCATTGTGTACTAATCCAAATAAACGAGTGTGGCTTGTTTGAACTAATGACGGCGACGCCTGGGCACGCCTGGGCCCCCTCCCCCCGCCCCACTTCATATTGTTACTCAGTGCCTTTCACTCCAGGCGAGCGGCAGTCAAGAGTTCCCCGGCGAAAGGGGAGGGGTCAAGCGGGGAGGGGAATGGGATGTTAAAACGGGGAACAGCAATAAATTTACCAATAGAGAAAGAAAAACTACAACAATTAAACTTTCTTGGTTTAGCTGTGAACGACTTAAAGGAAAACGAAAAGAAATCAAAAAGAGCAAACAAAATTTTGCACTTTGCACAACAAGATTTGAAAACGCACCGGGATTTCCTCTTTCTCTCAAACATTTGGCGCAAATAGCATATTTCCTCTAACAAAACTGTGCCACCCGCCCCTTTTTATACGCTTTCTGCTAATGCGTTTCTGCATGCCCCAGCGCGCCGAACAGTCTACACGGGTGTAGCTGTTTGCACCCTTCTGATTATTGAAACCGCATAAAATAAAAAAAAAGAGAGATAAAAAAAAACTTGGCGGAACCATTCATTCCATCGTGATGTCATCGTGTCGCCTCCTCCCGCCCGGCCGCGCCCGGCTGACCGGAGCGGCAGTCGAGCGAAACAAGTGACACTTAGGGCTAGTTTAGACTGACGGCATATGCTTTGGGGGAGATTTTATTACGAGAGAGGGAGAGAGAAAGAGAGAGAGAGAGAGGGAATGGGAGAAGATCTCACCCCCGGGTTGTCTCTACCCACCCCTCGCGGTGCCTGCTGCTGTCGATCACCCCATCTCCTCCTGCTCCATCCCTCCCTTCCCCTTTCCAGCATCAACGCAATTATTCCCACCACCATAAACTCTGTTTCCGCCCTCCTCTGCACCAGATTTTTCACCTTGCTGAATATTTGTGGCGTTTCCCTCGCCTCCCACCCTCTCCACAATCATCTTCCTTTTGTACGTTTCGACTCGTTTCTGTCGCAGCTTTTTCTTATTTCGTCCCTCGGCACATCATTAATCTCGCGCGCAGAATCGGTGGACAACTTGAGGACTGCAATGGTTGCAACGTGAGCTGCAAGAGCACCGCGCAACATTCATACTGATATACGATCCTAGAGAGTGATGTCTCCGTCATTCGGAGCACGCAATCACGGGAGGGAGATATGATTAATCGATTGAGGTTTTTGAATATACACCTGAAACAAAAGCGAGAGAGAGGAAATCCTCCATCACTGCGACGGGGGAATGACCACCGCGTCGACCTGAAAATAATTACGCTACAAGTATCGTCATCGGTCCAGAAGCAACCAGCAGCAGCGCCTACACCCCCGGACCTCACCCTCACCCTCCCTGGCGGCCGCGGCTCGCGGGGTGGGGCGCGGCGGGGTGTTGTCGAGATGCCTCTTAATTTAATTCATTCATGACCACCCCTATTGTCCTCGTTGTCCTGTCCCACACTATGACGATGCAACATTTTTTTCGATGTTAGCCTCATCTCTCTCTCTCTCCTTTTCTCTTTCTCTTTTCCTCCTCGCCAATGTTTATGGTCAGTGCGTTGTTTGGTGGCGAACTAATGAATGGTCATATTGATTGTGACCGTTGAGCGCGAGATTTGTAATGAGTTTCGTCTTAGTGTTCGCGATCTCTTTTTAATGGATTTCTGTACCCACCACTACTCCTCCCTCTCCCCCCTTTTCCCTCTCTCTCACTCTCTTTCTCTCCGCCTTCCTCTATCAGCGATCGTTGGCGTGTTTGCGACGTTTTGCTGGACCGCGATCGCTATCGCGCGCGCTGCAAACCGGTGCCCCGGATTACGGGCCCCTTTTGTCGCGATTAAACTGAACGACCGGCACAACAATGCGCGTCGCGGGTTCGAGTCCGATTGGAAGCCAACGAGAAATAAGTGGATTTGTCTCATCGCATTGTGAGGGCCGGTGGTGGTGGCCGTATAGGAAGGCCAGCAGCGGCCAGAGGTCACGTGACCACGCAGGCACACCAACCCTCCGGCGGCAGATGTGGCGAATGTTTGCACTTCGGCAGAAAATTGCAACACTGGTAAAATATTAAAATTTCACACGGTCCATAATCCACGAACCATACGAAAAAATTACAGAAGAACTAGGGCAGGAAGTAAAAACCAAAAACGACCCCCGCGTTTGAGCAGATGGGTCTGATTTTGTTCCATTAATACCGTCTGGATCGCACAGGGTTCCACGCCACACTTCAAATAAAAAGAGCCAACCTATTTGAGACTGTACTACATGGACACGCACACGGTGGCAACGGACACATCACTGCTGTCCAGATCTGGTCCAGAATCAGCCAGATGGAATCAACGAGGCCGGTGCGGCGCGACAATCAGCGTGATGCTGCGCGCCGGTGGGTTGACACGCGGTGGGGGTGGCACCGCTGATGGGCGGCGGGGTGGGGGAAGCGGGGGGAAGGCTGTTAACGTGGCGCTAATAACGCAACTTGTAAGCAAAAAGGGATGAGAGGAGGGGGGCGACAATGGCTCCACGGCATTCCCGACGACAACGCGAGGCTTATGGAATGCTACTGCCTGGTCCTTTATAGGCGGCATTGTTGCCAACCTATAATGTATGCCTGGCGTCCATAAATCAAAGTACGCGGCGCGCGCCGCGCCCGTCCCGTCCGCCCCCGTGTCGACCGTCGTCGCCGTGATCCTGGAGGCGGCGCTTGACGTCCAGGAGAAGGCGGAGTAGGCCGGCGATGGCAAACATTCCGGACATGCCAAAGCAAAGGCTGGTGCGCGTCGAGGAGGATGCGAGCGGGCCTCGTCCCAAAGGTCGTTTCCCAACCAGACACGAGCACTGTCAAAGCAAAGTTAGGACTTTAGCATGCCTATTCGTAAGAATTTATGAGATTTTATGATTTAGGTTGGCTAATCTTAGATCAAAAAAAAGTTTAAAATTCAAAACAAAACAAGTAAAACTGCAGACCAAAAAGGCTTTCAACACTGATAAAACTTTTGGTCACTTATAAGTTTTAAGGTTAACACTATATAGTATTTTAAATAGACTTTACAGTGACTTTTGTACACACTGCTTGCAGGAACGTAATGCAAACTATGTTGCTTATACAGGGTGGTCCATAGACCCCTTCTTTTGCGTATACTGTACCGCATTTAGGCGTGCGGGCAGGCTTGCCTACCGTCGGTCACCGCCTTCTGGCCCCGTGTGAATATGCAACACGCCTGCACGACTGCATGCGGTACAGTATAAGCAAGAGTAAGGAAGGGGTCTATGGACCACAGTGTATCTTTGCAGCTAACGAAGCAATGTTAAAAATAGTTGTAGTTTTCACAGGAAAACTTATTTATTGCGAACTAATTCTTCGTAAGCTATTTATACGTGGGTGACACTGCAAACCAATTGCAAAGTAGAATTTTCATAAGCTTGCGAAGAAATGCCTCGCAATGAGAACAATTTCTTCCCGACAGAAAGAAGAAGAAATCTTTGTAGCCTAGCAAAGACTCTAAGCTCGTAATCATTTGTTTCACGTTTGAAAAATAGGCTTTTGCAACGTTGCCATCAAAAAATACTGCTACCTTTGCTAGATCACCATGTATGAAAAAAATACTGTTTGTGCTACAAAACTTAGTCGTGCTCTAGTACTTATCAAAATCAAATTAATAATATTGTGTCCAACCTTGGCACAAAGCAAGGCATTATACCTTTGATATGTACTTTGAGTAGTCAGTGATTTCATTGAAACGTGCACGAGGGCACAATCACGCCACGTACAAAATTTACTTTCCAATTTAGTGCTTCGCTACACTGCTGAAACACGGATAAATACTGCAGAGTTTGGATATTTCCACCAAACAACCGGCTTTTGACCTGTCTCAAGACGATGACTTCTCGTTGTATTCTATGGTCCGATGGACTTGCCAGGCCACTCCGGGCGGTCCCTCTCCCTTCCTCTCAAAGGTATGATGCTCATTTTCGCGAGGTGGCCGTTAGGAGGCCGTGGACGAGTCGCTAACGAAGCTGAGCAGGGCGGAGTATGGGGGAGCAGGGGAAGGGGCAAACTGCCTGCTTGGACTAGATCCAAACCCTGTCACACAGTTATTCGTCTGCTCTCATTTTTCGACCACCAACGGCAAGTTTCAACAAAAAAACATGACGACGCAGTCGTTACTCGTTGCCGCCAAAGTTTATCACTCATTTCCGACTCTGTTCACGTAGACTTAACTACAAACGCGAGACGAATCCCCTCATATGTGTTTTTTTTATCACGAGTTTCTCGCGTCACGCTCGAGACAAAGGGCCCGAAATTGGCAGAGATGAGCCTCTATCTACCTGGCGGGGCACTGCAAGCGGTGAGAAAAACGGTCCGCAATCGATGATGAGCTCTCGGTGACACACAAAAGGATATAACTCTTTGACCCCGGCAGTGGCTACGGCCGGGGACGACGACATGCTCCGGTTCCCTCACCGCTGCTGTGCCGTGCACCTTGTGCGAGCTGCTCTTTTTTTGCGGGTTGTCTTCTCCTCCCTTTCCTCTCATTGCAGAATCTTCCAGTCCTTGCCTCTCCTCTCTGCTGAGACGCATCACGGATTTCCCATCATATATCCTGTCCCCCTCCCCGCCCTCTCCCCCTTTTAGATCGATTGTTCGATCCTTTGTATACTCTTGTCTCTCTGCAGATTTTTAATCTATTAAATCATAGCCCGGCGGGGTTGCGCACAATAGACAACCGAGGGGAAGAGGAAGACGGCGACGGTGACACACGAAAGCGACGTAACTCGGCCAGAGCTTTACTGCAGTTGCGCAGGTTTTGCCGTTCCTTTTCCTCCTTGCCAAACCCTGCCCCTGCTCTATCGCATGAGAAACGGACGCAAATTAACAGCGGACAGTGATTTTGATTTTGAGCCGCGCAGCAAGCAGTGTCGCGACGGTGAAGGTTTGATATTAGAGAAGACGCGCGGGAAGAAGCCTCTGTCCCTGCGTTTGTTGACATGTACGAAACTCATAGACTGTGTACCTCGACGAGCAAAGCAATTATGTACACAGAACATAGGTTGCTAAATTCTCTAGAAAAATAAAAAAAACTTTAGAATGGCGAGATACGCTTTCTTTGTGGTCGGCCTCGTCAAATTTCACGGCCACTGCCCTGCCCCAACCCCACTATCGCACGGTTGGCTGTGCTGCCCTGGTTCTACCCCAGCCACCCCCTTATCGTCCGGGGACGATTTTCCGACTGAGAGATACTGGCTGGCAACGGGCAGTTGAGGGGTCAAAAGAGGCCACCCACAAGCCGTTGGCCAAAACTACCAACCCCACCCCACAATCAATCAACACATGAAGCTACCCTCCGTAGAAAGTCAAGCACAACCTATTACACTTCAGAAAGAAAATCTACAGTGCAACGATGCCGGGCTTATGTAGTCAGTGTGGTACGGTGGTGGTTGGATCTTCACAACAAAGTTGCAGGCAGGCTAGGCATCCCTCCACCCACCACACTACTTGTGGTACTTCCTCACTTTATGTTGTTGGTCCGTTTAGGCCAGAGGGGCTGGACCCGCAGGGCGGGGTCAAGAGGCTTGGTCAACTCTTGGGGCGGGAGGACAATCTAAGGGGGGCCAATATTTGCCGACAGAGGGTGTCGGAGCAGCTGATCTAATCCACCACTTTATAGCTGAACAAAGGACGGCTCCAGACGAAATTGGTAAACTGTCATACTACACACAGTATATGGCTTGAATGTACAGACTGTTGGTTTTGTCAGGGTAGCACTTAAAAAGCTCGTGGATTTACAAGAAACGAAAAAAAAAAACGGAAAGGCCTATAGATTTATAAGCGCCGAGCGGACAAAGACGAATAGGGAGAGAGGGCTGGGCTTCCTCTTAGCTTCCCCTTCTACAAAATATTTGAAGAAAAAATAGAATGGCACAAGGGTGACTTCCCCGCCCACAAGCGCCCCAACTCCGCCCCTCCCCCTCCACCACGCCACCACACGCCGCCACGCCGCACCGCCCCCTTTTGAAACGCCTTTCTCCCAGCCCGATGTACTCAGCCAGTTCCTGTAAACGACAAAAGCATTCCAAAAGACCTAAAAAAGAGGCTGCCGCGAAACGTGCCATGGCAGTGCGAACATTATTTGCTTCCACCATGAGCGTATGGGAGTTGGACAAATGCCCAAACAAACAAAAAGACTGCACTTTGACAGAGACAGAAGCAAATTTAGACTTACTTATATTAAATTTAATTACTTGCATTTGAAATTAAGAGGTTTAAATGGTATTTAATTGGGGCAGGTCTATGCCGCGGTTAGTGTTGGGATGGAAGGACGGGATCTGTAGCAAACATATATCAGTCGCACACTGTAAATACCTTACGAACGGTAGGTTCGTAATGCAAACCAAAACATTCGTAGCTTACGAAAGATTTTGAAGCGTTCTGTTACGAACTAATTGCTCGTAAGCCTACAAACAAATGGTTCGTAATGCAAACCAATTGTTCGTAAGAACTTGTCTAGCCTTACAAAAACAATCGATTAGCAATACAAACACTTTCTTTGCAATTCAAAGAGCAAAAATTGTTCGTAACGTTGCAAAGCATTTAGTTCGTAAGCCTTTTAAAGTGCAGCAATGTTGTAAGACCCAAATTAGGTAAAATGTAAAATGGGACTGCACTTGAAAATAACTCAACGTCCCCACGTCGCTCTGCCTGCATTCTAAAACATAATAAATCTTAAAGTGCACTAAAGTGAAGCCAACAAGGAAGGTAACAAGGTAATTGCAGAGGGAACTAAATCAACGCGGTAATTGGCAGATCACAATCACCGCCATGTCTGCTACCGTTTCGCAAAATAGCTGAGACCGTACCTCCCGTACCTCCCCAAGTCAAGTGGAGTTTTGAGGGATGTTTACAGCTGGCTGACACATGTCTGCGATCGATCACTCCTCGGAGCCCCGATAGCCGCACTCGAGGTGCTTCTCACCATTAACTCGTAGCTAATCGAACGGATACGTTATTAACGTCCCTTGTGCGCAGCCGATCGCTCGGAAATATTGCGGAAAGTTGACAAACAAACACGGAAGGGTTCCACGGGTATCAGCGTCGTCATTATGGGAACGGAGAGAAGAAGGGGCAATACAGGGGGAGGGAGGGAGGAGTTGGAGAGGGAGGGGGGAGGGACGAAGAACGGCACAATATGTGGTCGTGGTCGATTTTGCTATGTAGAAACGCCTGTTTGCCGTACTCTTGAACCATCAACAAAATCATTTCCAATTTTCAATTCAATGATGTTTCCTCGAAAAAATTTCAAAATACAGGCAGTTGTGTCCGGAGGTTGTTGAGTCATTAGTGCATCATCTCAATATTTCTCAGCAGCCCACATGCTGTCAACTGTAGCTTATATAACTGCAATTCCTTCAGTTTTAAGTCCCTCGTCAAAATTAAGGAAGTTTATTTACTTCTATGGGTCAAACTGTAGTTAGACTACAATTGTAGTGGCATGTTCAAATCCTTCCATCCTGTATTAGTACACTCAGTAATTGAGACATCAATCGAAACCACCTTAATACATAAAAAAATGCCTGTCCCTCTGTACTGCTTCTTTTTCTCTTTGGACTTCCGGCAGCACGCCACGATACCCCCCAGCCTGCCGCTCGGCCGCCGCTCGGACAGGCACTAAGTAAGTGGCCGTCATCTCAATCTGATCATCTCCCCGGCACGAGTAGGGCGCTAATCCGGAATATGGGTATAATCATATCTGAACCATTTACGTACACCGTGCCTTCGTTCTAGGCGGTTTACTTCCTTCGCCAACGCACATTTTGGAAACAGAAAGAGAGTTACAGCACTGGCGTATGTACCGTACACAGGGATGGACTTTAAATGTAAAGTGACAATTTTGTTCCTAAAACGGCATGGTTTTCGTGGACTTTTAGATCGGATATAGTTTTGTTTGTAACTTTGGACAAATAATTGTGTACAAACTGGATGTGCACAAAAAAATCCTTTTCAGGAACAACACTGTCCCTTTACATTTCGAGTGGATTTGCGGAAATTCGACCCTTTACCTCTTTTTTCTGTTTCCCACTAGAACCGCAGCACGTGTGGGTGTCTAACTAAGCTCGCGTGGGCGAGACCCAGATAACATCGGTCGGGACACAACACACGGAGGCAACCGGTAGTAGAAGGGGAGGGGGGGGGGAGCAAAAATGATTCGATGGAGAATATCGTGAAACCAGCCGGTACTAATGACTATGAAAACACAGCACCAGCGGATGAATAGAGGGAAAGAGCACCGAACAAAATACATACATTCTCCTACATACTGACGGAAAAACTAGAGAAGGCGTGTACTTTGTTGCAAAATGTTTTCGGACCATTTTCAGTTAACGTAGATATGGCACTCCCGCCAATGCAGAGGAAGTACAAATGTTCTTGTCGCATCGCACTTCACTACTATCGACAATCATCATTGCTCTGATCATTTTCTTAAAAGTAAAAAGACAAGCTTCAAAACTTCGCTGTTGTTAACCATGCCTCCTCGTACTTTAAGCTCTTACACACCGTATTGTGCCCAGGTTACAAAACGTGTTTAAAATTGAACATGGTTATAAGTGCGAATTTTTGCATACTGGAAATAGTTGTCCATTTTTTAGACATGACAAGTTATGCACAGCACAACTAAAGATGCTTTAAACTCTGCCAGTCTTATGCACAGCACGATTTCAAAGAGGTTTATAGTGCGTCCGCACACCTGAGCAGGGTGTCTGGCGAGCCACTGGCGTGGGAGTCCAGGATGCCGCCGACGGAGGCTTTGGCGAGTCGTCAGCGACGGCTGGCCGAGGCCCTCATCGCCGCTGTGATAATCCAACAAGCCCGAGTCGAGGGAGGCGTCCGCTTTAATCCAGCAGAAGCACACGCGCTGTCACACGCACACGCGCGCGCACGCACACACGCACGCACGCACTCGCACTCGCACGCACGCGCGCGGGCATGCACGCACAGCACACTGTAATACACACGGCGGGGGCCCTCCTGCGGACGGCTCTGAGCGGGACGGAGTACGTACTGGTGCGCTGGCCGCGAGGTGCGCCCGCCGCGCTCGCTCCGCCCCTCTCACCGCGGCACGGCCCGCCACGCGCCGCCACGCCGCCACGGGCTCCACGGCCAGGCCCCGCCCCGCGCGCCGCAGGCCACGCCCCCTCCCCACCCGCCCCCGCGCCCCAGCCCCTCGCCCGCCCTGGCGCCGAGAGACGACCACACCGCCAGGACAGCGCCAGCGTCATGCTGATGAAATGACCCGCGGGCGCTGTAGCTGTAGGTAAGTTTTCCAGTCTCTCGGAACAGAATCCGTCCGCTGCGGAGCGATCATCTTCGATGGTCGCGCAGATGTATGGGGAAATGTGAAGGCACAACGCTTTAGGGGAAAGAAGTGCTCTAAATCACAATCTTGCATGACCTTGTCATTTTCCATTCTTTACAAAACGTTTCGGTTTCTTAACATTTCACTTCTGGCGTTTATAAAAAAATGCTATCTTGGCTTACCTGATTCATACTTCGACCGAGTGGCGGGTGGTACTTCACCTGTGTAGGCAACCCGCATAATCGGCAACGTAGGTGTATGACGCCAGTCAGAAACGAAGCCGCACCACACCGGGACCCGCGCCCTGTAACAAAACAAAAGTAAAAATATTATTTGTTATCATTATCTTTGTCTTTACGTCTTTCGGAAGCTATAATCTGCCGCTCTCCGCCACGGACGCAGTTGATCCATCCGGCCCCGCTACATGCCCCTCCCGATTGTCTCTACTACACCGTCTCGATACAATGGCGGCCGCGACGTCGTGTTCAAAGAGGACGCGCGCGGCGCGAAAATGACATGGAAATCGTTTTAACAATCAATCGCGCCAACCACAACACGCGACCGTAACAATGCGTCCATTAGGCGGGGCGCTGAGCAGCCCGCGCCGGGCCACACACACACACACACACACACACAGCTACGCACGGGGACGCGCAGGCGGCGCGGTGTAGTCAAGTGCAGGCCACAATAATGCACGTGCGAGCCTCAAACATATGTCTGCACTCTCACAAGGGACGATATTATGCAAAAATATTTATGTATGGATACGTATCCTGCGGCATATATATGCAAATTCGTGCATGACAGACGCGGGGGGCACGGTAATGCACTTCTCTCTCTCCCTCTCACCCTCTCTCTCTCTCTCTCTCTCTCTCTCTCTCTGGCTCACCCCTTTCCTTGGCGGAACTCCTTGCGACCCGCGCCGGCCCGTCTCGGCCCGCACACCACACCCCAGAGGGTCCTAAACACGTCTTGGCACTCGCCTTATTGATTGAGCCCTTCCTCGCCATCCACCCGCGGGCTGCTGCCGCGCGAGGTCTGCCGCCTGACCCCATGCAAGCCGTCCGACCACACAGGTTATGATAGGCTATAAGAAAGACCCATTATGAAGGGTGAAGGCGAGTCAGTTGGTGCACTTGAACAACTGACAGTGCGGGGTAAAGTCAAGAACCAACGGTTGTGCGGAATGCCTCCTCACTGGTCGTTAGCGAGCCGAGGGGCCCGCGGAGCGGGGCTCGAGGCAGGTGGCCATTGTCTGGTAACGAGCCTCAACCCTTGGCATTCTCACCTTCATTTGCGGGGTATTTTCATATAAACCAGGCGCGCTTCCTCACCCTCCTGCTCGAGGCCCAAAACCTCCTAGCGATGTCTCGCGCACAAAGACACACGGAGGACAGGGCGAAGGAAGAAAAAACGAAGAGAGGGTGCAGTTTCGCGTATCCTTCAAAGGAGGTCGGCTGAGCGGTAACGACTTCAACTTGACGCCAGAAAGTGTCCCCTCGCGCGGGCCATACAGCACAGCAATTTCCATCAAAATAGACATCATACCTGTTTCGGAAGGCCAGGTCGAGATCCGTTCGAAAGAGGCTGACCACCATTCCAAACAGACGACTCGGTGATGTTTGACGGACAGGTCGCTGCTGGTTACGATCGTTGCAAAAGTGAAGGGTTAAACTGACTCTATGCCAAACAGGGGTTCCGCTGACCTCACAACTCACAAACGCATCGATACTAAGGTCTAAAACGGTCACATCCAATCTAGTTGACTGGCATGTATATGTGACCTTCACCTGCGCAAGCACCCCCCCTCTGATCTTCTCGATCGATTGACTCCATGATAGGTACATATGATATTATGCAAAGCACAGCTCACAATCGCAGACACACAACTTTCAGATTGAGTGTAAAATCTAATGCCAATCTGGGTTTGAAAGAATCATCGTTCTGCAAAAAAGCAGTGCAAAGTGCAATCTCTTCTCATCAACTTTATATTCAACCACTTCCTCTCTCACGCTCTAAAAATCCGGCTTAGCTTCCATCGTCGCCATTTTCTCCCCATTAATTTTTTTGCTATAGGCAAATGTGAGCCGCCGTGAGGCTGTGTGACGTGTCAGGCGACCCACCAGGTTGACGACGCCGTCGCGAGATTGACAGGACCAGCATCTTGCGCGCGATGAGCTCGAGTAAACCGGTCCTGTCCTAGGCAAACAAACGCACATCGAGAACGTTGCCTCATTTGCATTTTTTGTTAAAGTTATCTTCTTCTCCTCTGTCCGCTGGGGTCGCTCTATATACCCCCATTCCTCTCCCATTGGCTAAGCTGGGGGGCGCGTTGGGAGCGGCGCGACACTGTCTTCGTATTTCTCTTATTATGTTTCGATTAAAGACGAGCCCCTCCAGCCTGGGAGTGCGCGGACCCGTGTTCCGTGTGTCCTCTTGATCCTTCTTCATTGTGTCCCCCGGGGTTGACTCGTGCGCCTGTGTGAGGGTATGTGTGTAAGTGTGCGTGTGTGTAAGTTTACGTGTGTGTGTGTGTGTGTGTGTGTGTGTGTGAGCGCCCTGTCATTGTGGCCGCGTAATGGCGCAGTTCGGGTACGGGAGAGGGGCTCAGACGATCAGCTGCCGGACTAGACTTCTTGGGGTTGTTTTGCTTCTGCATCGGAGCACGCGCAGGGCGAAGACAGAAAGCCCAAATAAGCTGAAATCCCAAACCCCTGCACTTTCAAAATTGTACAGTGCACACGAATGTAAAAACACTCCGCTGTACGACGGCGCTTACTTTTGATCCTTGATAGGCGAAGGACCGCAGAGGGGTACTTTCCGAGAGATCACCACAGTTTCACACACAGCCAGGCTGCGGAGCGAGGGATCCGCGTCCGGACACCGGTGGTGTGACGACGAGCAGGAGGACGACACCGTTTGTCTCTCCGTCTGCGGATTCTGCGGTTGAGTTTCAAGGGCCGTCGACAACACAATGGCTTTCATTAAGAAATGCCACCACCCCGCGGAGCACCGGCAGCCGCCAGCAGCACCAGGAAGGTCGCGTCCGAACCAGCATCACGCGGCGCGAAGAGGTTTTTCGAAGGCGGCACGCGGACAAAAGGGGTGCTCGCTGGACGGGGAGGATACGTACGCAGTCATCGCCAGCCAGAGGGGCAGGAGGGAGATTCTGGTGGTCATCCCATCAGCGTCATGGGAAGGGCCAGCATGTGGCACAAGGGAGATAGTGTTGGCACGGAAGTGGGGAGCTATTGAAGATGAATGAAGGGTTAATTCAGAAAGGATGCGCTCTGGGCAACGGCAAAACCTCTTCCTTGGACCGCCAACGCAAAAAAGAAGATAGAGATATAAAGTGAATTCTCAAACGGTCGCCGTACGTATCTAGCGCTATCCCATCAATTATGGACGAGAATGCTGGGAACAGCGTCAGGGGTTCTCTGGCAAAACACATCGGCGGAACAACGAATTTTCAAGAACCTTTGCGATCCACGTCAACGCTATGTAGAGTGGATTCAGACGAAGGTCCGTGCAGACTGAAAGGGACAGAAAGAGAGGGAAGGGGACAGGGGTGGAGAAAGGGAGCGAGATAGACGGAGAAAGGGGGTGAGATAGAGCGCGCTGTGACGGTGGTGTCCACGCGCGGCCGAGGGGCCCAAATCATAAAGCAATTCCATCAGCGCCACCGCCGAGCCAGTCAAGTAGTCGTCCCTGCCGTCCGTCAGGCAAGAAAAAGGGGAGGGATTAGTTTGCAAAGCAGCGGGGACCGCGGCATCCAGAGCAAACGAGGAAGCGGCGTCCAAATCTCATCACAGCGAAGAATACGGGCGCGGAGGAGGTCATTGGCAAACAGGGCCCCCGGATGGGTCCTCTCTCCACTCGACGCGCCAAAGGGTGGTGATGCTCCCGTCACAAAAATAAAATTTAAAAAAATGGGTAATCCGCGCGGCGCCAGTGAGAGAGAAATGGGAAAAAAATGAGAGGGAAAATAAATAAAAGGAGAGGGGAGAGGAAAAGAAATGGGAAACTTAGGGCATTGGAAGCTTGCATAACGATTGTGGTTTGTGTTGAGATCCGCGGCGCGGGAGGGGGCGGGGCGGTTTTTGGCAGGCGTCAAGTCCAGGCGAGTCGTGTAGGGTTTGACGAGCCCTTTCCCCCCAGCAAGGAGTCCCTCTCGTCGGGCTGCGTCCGAACGAGGCGCGTCGGGCGACAATAACAAAGCCCTTCTTGTACGCAGCTCTACAACCCACTCTCTCCCTCCGGGTGCAAGCGGATGATCTCCTGGAGTTATTCGCACGCAGCCGAGAGAGAAGGACGCTTCGCGCACCTCGTTACTATCAGTTGCAAGCATTCTGATAGAAATATAAAGTGAAACCTTAACGTCCTCATATCATTTCGCTTGGCCGTACGCTGGCAAGGTCAGCGCTGCATCCCAAAGAGGAGAGCGATACAACAGCAATCCCTAATCGTCGTCGCCAATGCTTCAATCTGCCCTTCTCCCCTCTCTCCCGTTTCCGACTCCTCGACTCCACCAGTGCCACTGTGTGCCAACTGCGGGCTGCGGGGCACAGTGACGCGAGGGGCTGCTCGTGTGGCAGAAAAGAAGGCAGCGAGCACAAAATGGGCCGTGTGTCGCGTTAGTAAGAAGCCAGACGTACCCAACAGGACGACAACTTTTCTCTTTTTTTCCCTCCGCTTGCCGCAAAATAACACACACACACACACACACACACACATACACACAACGACAGCGCA